ACAAGATCCACTCCCAGCCTCTGGGCGGTCCCTAAGAGCTGGCAGACAAGTGCAGAGAAATGAGCAGGTAGTCATCCCCCAGCCCCGCTCACAGGAGCGGGAGTTTGGACATGGGGGAGCTGTAACGAATGTCTCAAACCCTTGGCAGCCAACTTGAATCCCACTCGTTGTGGCTTGTGCCAGGTCACTGCCAAAGATGGATCCACTTAATGGGAACGGCCTGTCACTTCTAGAACAGGTCACTTGCACAGGACAGGGAGACTCGAGGCTGCCCTGGGCCATCCTTCTTCAGGCGCCTGGAGGAGTCAGGCTTTCTGTCCCCGGGCCTCGTGCAGCTGTGCCAGCTGTGCTTTCTAAGTGGTCAGGGGAGCCAGACAATGGCTTTTAAGGTGACAGTCCTTTGTCAGAGTGATACAAAGCTGTCTGCATTCATCTGATGGTGCTTGTCTTTTTGGGAAAGCTGCTGACAAGGCCGAAGTGTTGGAGGTTATTCATTTTTAATCGAAAAGTTAGCCTGGCACTGCTTTACAACCAGCTGCTCTGGGCTCCAGCCCACTGGCAGGCTTTTAGGTGGTCTGTGCAATGAGAATTGCTGTTGAAAGGGAGCCGAGGATGGCCATACTTCCCCCCTTATCCTGGGATTTGTCTGGGCTTTGTATCCCAGGTGATGTCCCAGAACTCACGGGGTTGAGGACTGGAGGCAGCACTGCCCATCCTCGTGGTTTGTACCATGTCCAACCCAGCCTCCAGAGCAAGCGTGTCAAACTCAAAGGCTAACGCGGGCCATATAAACAAGGTTTAAGCTTATGTGGGCCACAACAAAACAAAAGCTTCAATTTTCATAGAAAGATGGGTTTATTTCAATAGAGACATGCTGAATACAAAGGGCTGAAAGAAATGAGTCATCATTAACATAAAATAAGAGAACATTTTAATAAAAATTATTTTTTTTAATATTAAGTTAACTAGACACTGAATAACTGCACCAATTCATAAGCATAACGCAAATAAACCTGTTCTTCTTGTTCTCCCAAAGCAAAGTATTTCCTGTTGCGCACACCAAACAAGTCAGTCCAAGACTAACGACGTGGCAATGGGCTGCTAAAATATTCGCTGCTGGTATGAGTGGAGAGAAATGGTGCGCCTGTGCATAAGGCGCATAAGGGAAATGAATGCAACACGATTATAGTCATCAGTCATTGGCGAGTGTTGTAGTTCGTTATTAATAATTATGTATAACAGGATACTGTAAAAATTAAGTTACGAAAATTTTATTAAAACATTTCTTACCTACCGTTATATTGGCCGGGCCGCAAAAATATTTGTTGCGGAGGCCGTGAGTTTGACATGCTTGCCCCAAAGCATCTGCCACTTGAGAAGCATCAGGAACACACTTCTGGCTGAAATTTCCCCCATGAGACCCCGATTGAATGGACTCTGCAGGGTGAAGGTCCAAACTATCGATAGAACACTAGACTGAATGAGATCTGGGGTTCCCGGGACAAGCGGGAGCCCCTGCCCCAGACCTCACTGCTGCGGGTCCAGCAAAGGTGGCTGCCTGCCTCCTGCAGAGGAGGCCACAGAGTGGCCTCTTCTCGGGTCCCGGGAGGTGGTTATCGGAAGTTCTGCTTCGTGTCTTAAGGGAACAAGGGACCATTGTTACCCAGTCCCCTTGCAACATTGCCTTTTCCCTTCTTTCCTCTCCTTTGTCTGGAGGTGATCAGCCTCCTCCCTGGCTCCCCACCCCCCTCTTCTCTTCTTAGGATAAATCTGGTTCTCTGGGAAATGGATGGTTTATTCCCACAGGACACAGAGCTTAAAAGGAAACTCCCTCCCATCGCAAGCGACTGTGGGGCAGAGGCAGGAGAACTAAGTCACGCTTTTGGAGTCATCACAGCTATCTGTGGGAAGTCTCCAAACAGATCTTCTGCTTAAACAAAGACTCATTCAGTTTTACAGCAAGTGACATAGCCTTGCTCCTTGGCGCCCAGCTCAGCAGGCAGCAATGCCTCCTGGTGGAACCATATTTCTAGGAAGGAAAAGAGCTTCTGAAACACTTAGTCTTGATAAATAGCACACCCATCGGTCTTCACGAAAGACTTAGGTTATTGTCCAACTTCAACAAGCAAATTTTATTCACATCTGAGCTCTGCCTCATATGGCAGCCCAATTTTTATTTTTTTAAATATATTTTATTGATTTTGTACAGAGAGGAAGGGAGAGAGATAGTTAGAAACATCAATGAGAGAGAGTCATCGATCAGCTGCCTCTTGCACACCCCCTCCTGAGGATATGCCCGCAACCAAGGTACATGCCCTTGCCCGGAATCGAACCTGGGACCTTTCAGTCCCCAAGCCAACGCTCTATCCATTGAGCCAAAGCGGTTTCAGCGCCAGCCCTAATTTTTAAAAAACAAGTATGTATCAATAGAAAATAACACTAGACAGGAGTCTAGATGTTAGAGTAATTATCTCTGAAGAAGCAAGATCCCACATTCTTTTCATGACTATGTCCTTTTTAGAGCATTTCTTGTGTCTTCCGGTGCAGCGGGTATGAACATGCTCATTGATGCTTCTGTTTCCGGGAGAGGCAGAAGTATGTACATTGTAGCTGAGAGCCAGTGAGTCTCTTTTGGCCTCTGATGAGTCTGGAGCCCTCAGTATGCAGAGAAGACTCTGGATTAGCACACGAAGAGAAGCTCTGAGGTGTTCTTAGGAGCTCCTTGAAGCCCAGAGCTGTGATTTCTCAGTCCTCTTTCCCCTTCCCAGGCCGGGGATGGATAAGGTGGCCAGTGAATGGGCATCTTGTCTTGTGACTTAAGGTCATGACTTATGGCAGCCCTCGTTCAGACGTGAGCTTCATCATGTTCTGACTTGGAGGTGGGACCTTCTCTTGGGCTTGGGGCTGGACATGTGCCCCGAGTGAGCTTTTCAGGGGAAGAGCTGCCCCCACCCCAAGTCCTCCTGTGCCCCGTCATCCCCAGGGGACATGCTCCAGGGGCAGAAGTTGGATGTGCAAACCAAGGTGGGGCAACAGCTGGCTCCACCTGTCACCTTTGTGCAAGTGTCTCATTGTGGCATCATCCCAACAGCAGAGGGCAGTAGTGATCAGCAAGCCCAGGAAAGAGATGGGTTACCTGCCAAGGGAAGGTGGTTTTTTTATGGGGAGTGGCCACACTCACCCCACCCCCATTCCCAGATTTCTCCCTCTTTCCTGAATCCTTACCAGGCTGTTGCTGACTGTCCTGATTCAGCTGAGCCAGGGCAGGGGCACAAGAACCCTAGAACCCTACCGCTATACAGCTGGGCCTCTGACCCCCTCCCATGACAGATGGGAGCACTGGGGCCCAGAGAAGGGACTTGCTCAGAGTTGCACAGTGAACCAAGGGCAGACGGAGTCCTAACTGCTCCCGGGGAGAAGCAGGCCCGAGTGGAAGGGCTGTTCGAGGGAAGAGGGTGGCTGCAGGGAGGGGAGATGCCCACTGCACCACAGGCCCCAGCCTAGACCACCAGCTCCTGGATTGTCCCACCTCTGAATTCCAACACGCTGAGCCCGAATTTCTGGGTGGACCCTTTGCTGCTCCAGTAAGACCTTGATGTCTCCCCTGCACACAGGCTGGGCCTCCTGCGGTCTGTCTTCCCTTCTGCACACCCAGTGCCTGGCTGGGCACCCAGTGCTCAGGGAAGATGTGAGAGTTCAAGGTGGTGGGTGCGGGCCGGTGGGTAGCGAGCATCAACAGGACAAGGGACCTCCTTCTCTCTCCCCACCCTCTCCAGGAACCTCCCTCGTAGCTTCCTAAGCACGTCTGTGCTGTCTCCTTTCTGGGCCTTTGTCTCATGGTGGTCTCTCAACTGCCCGCTCCCCACTCTCCCTTCCTCTGCTTCAGCTCCATCCTTCTGTAGCTCAAGGCCCAGCCCTGGAGCCTCCTCCTCCCAGAGCCTCGCTTCCCTGACTCTCATCTGGATTCCCACCAGCTTGGCCTGTGACTGGTGACCCTGAGCCACTAGGGAAGCTGTGAGGTTCAGTGGGGAGGAGAACTTCAGGGCCCCGCAGGTCTGTGTTCCAACCTGGCACTGCCACTGCCACTGCCCATCTGGATGGACTTGGCAAGTCTCTTAGCCGGATCTGTGAAACGGAGATGCTAATCCATGCTCCACGTGGACAGTCAGGAGGATCTAGACACGCACAGGGAGTGCCTGCAGTAAGATGAACAGCTCTTTGAGGGCAAGAGTGTGGTCTTCTTGTCCCAAGACTTTGCAAATGAATGAATGAATGAATGAGTGAGTGAGTGAGTGAGTGAATTCTGGAATGGGCAGAGAAGTCTGTGAAGTCTGCTTTTCACCAGCAAGATGCAGGACAGCAGCCCTCACTGTTGTCCCCCTCCCCCTCAACCCCCTTCCACACCCAGTGTGCACTCAGCCCTCGGAAGCCCCTCCTCCCTTCCAGCCCCATTCTCAGCCTCGGCTCTCATAGCCCCGCCTCAATGACATTTCCTCTCCTAATTACCCTTTTAAATGAAATTTGTTAAGGTCTATGTAATTTTTAAACTGATTTGCATATTTTAATTTTATCTTAATTTTTTTGTTGTTGCTGTTAATCCTTACCCAGGATTTTTTTTTTTTTCCATTGAATTTTAGAGAGTGGAAGGGAGGGGGAGAGACACACAGAGAGAAACATCGATGTGAGAAAGACACATCAATCTGTTGCCTCCCGCACATGCCCAGACTGGGAGCCAGGGATCAAGTCTGCAACTGAGGTAACGGCCCTTGACCGGAAATCAAACCCAAGACCTTTCAATCCTTGGGCCAGTGCTCTATCCACTGAGCCAAACTGGCGAGGGCTGATTTGTATGTTTTAGTAAGAGCACATGATGGACTGGGATTATTAGGCAGCAAGCTTTCTGTGAAATTGACCGGATGATCAACTGGGGCTGCCCTTCCTCCAGCCCTCAGGGGGCGTGCTAGCCCAAGACTGACATAAGCTGTGTTTTTGCTTGGCAGACCACGGTGAGCTGGGACGGGGACAAGCTCCTGTGCGTGCAGAAGGGTGAGAAGGAAGGACGCGGCTGGACCCAGTGGATTGAGGGTGACGAGCTGCACCTGGTGGGTCCCTGGGGAGAGGGTGGGACAGGTCCTGCTGTGGTTCCTAGTTTCAAGAGGAGGGCATAGAGACTCACCTCCAAGTCCCACAGCTAGAAAGGGGCAGAACTAAATGTACTCCCCAGTAATGTCCGTTTTCATCATGCCAACTGAGGACATGTTCTCTAAGCTTCTCGAAGACATGATCTCAACAATCCAGGTCGGGAAGGAGACGTCCTCCTCAGCTCAGCTGTGGGCCCCACTCACCCTGCCCTCTAGCCTGGGACCTCTGCTCCATGCATTGCCTGGAAAAAATGCACCCACAAATCCAGAGAAGGGACCTTAGCATCCAGAGGGCTAGACGTTTCCCGGAGAGGAGACCTCTCATCACTTCTGTGCCCTTGGATTTCCCCATCCATCTTCCTTCCAAGAAAGGAAGCTGGTCCAGGTGACCTGGGTTCTAGTCCTGACTCGCTGGGTGCCTTTGAGTAGGTACCTTCCTTCCTCCAGCTCATCTGCAAAGTGCATCCTACCACATAGGGGTTCTGCAAAGATCAGGGTCTGCTAGAGCTTTGGGCCATGTGAGGGCGAAGAGACGTGAGGGCGTTATTTCCAGAGGCGGCTTAGGACCATAGGAGAGCCAGGCTGCAGTGCCCGACCTTGAGCATCTCCTCCCTGGCCTTTCTTCCTCAGCTGCAGAAGTGAGGGCTGCTGTATGATCTCCACGGGCCTCTCAGCCCAATGGTTCTGTGGCTCCGTGACAGAGGGTGCAAACTGGAGGCCACAGGCCTCTAGCCTTCAAAAAAACAAACAAACAAAAAAAAAACCTTGAAGGGGGTGACAACCCTCTGCTGCCATTCCCCCTGGCAGCCATCGGCAGGGCTGCGCTATAGGCAGGGCATGGCTTTCTTAATAATAGCAACTTCAGTACCCCACCCACTGAGATGTTGATAGAACTGGTCTAGCCTTGGCCCAGGCATTTTTCAGACTCCCCAGTCAACTCCAGCATGCAAGCAAAGCTTGGAAACAGCCTGCTAGTTTGCCATCCGATTCCGTGGCAACATATTGAGCCCTTTGAGGGGTCGAGTCTTGTGTCTGGACCTGATTTCTCCCAAGGCTGGGCACAGACCCCATCCTGGGTTTAGGCCTGAGGTTCACAGAGTCTTTTGGCCCATTAGGGAAGCAGTGGGAGCATCACAGGGTGGGTCTTGTTGGTCAGCTCAGAGCCACATGAGTTTCCCAAGCGGCTCCGTTCACAGGCTGCAGCCTCATGTACACGGATCCAGTTCAACCAACTCTCCAAGAAATTGGTTAGTTCACACCAACTCTTGGGAAGAATAGCGGCCACAGGGTATTTTCTAAGTTGCTTCCCGTAGATGTACTGACCCCTCGTGTGGCCTTCGTCTGGCCAATGACAAGCACCCGTGTTTGTTTCAGGAGATGAGAGCGGAGGGTGTGGTCTGCAAGCAAGTGTTCAAGAAGGTGCACTGAAGTGGGCGACCTCGGTCTCGGGGAGAGAGTGGCATGGGCACTCGGGCCAGGGTCCCGCTCTGCACAGCATGGGGCAGAAACGTCCAGCCACCTCCAGGTATCGGTTAGCAGCCCGTCTCTTGGCCTTGTTCCTTTCCCTTTTCTTAGAACACAACTATCCCAATAAAAGTGCTCTCTGTTCAACACGTCTCTCTGGAGAAGCTTCGCAACCCCACTGTGCTCACTGTTTCCCTGGGGCTTCGGAAGTCGGCTTCCTCTGGTGCCACCACAGGCCTGAAGGTTTAGTCATGATGGTGCACCTGTGTGATCTTTCCTGGGGGCACTGGCTGGGGGCTGGGGTGGGTGGGCTGACACCTGTGTCCCTCCCACACCCCATGTCCTCTCAGGGCCACAGTGCAGTGGGTGCCACAGAAGCTGGAGAAGGTGCTCTCCACCGTGGGGACTCAGAGCCTAGTGAAGGGGACCCCACCAGCAGAGATCTCGAACCCTGTGTGCACACAAGGCGATGCTCTAAAATTACTTGTGGATGAAATGGAACTGGGTTGCCATTGGAAAACAGCTAGAATGAGGTGAGGCAATTACCTATTTGATTGGATTTCTAAGGTGTCATGAACCCACATTCATTCATTCATTCATTCATCCCGCAATGGTTAATGAAGACCTATTAGGTGCCAGCACTGAGCTAGTGCCTCACCTGTTGGGCATTCAGGAGTTCCCACCCCATCCCAGGTATTGAGACCCCCATCAAACCACCCCAGTGCCTCCCTCAGCAGTCAGCGCTCAGTGGGGTGGCCCTGTTAGTGTGCGTGTGCACGCCATGTTGGAGTCTCCGCTCCACCCGCGGGGGGGCCTCTGGCCCCAATGGGAGACTCCGCCCCACTGTGATCGAATGGCTTGAGTAGCGGGACCTGTTGCAGTGGGCAGTGGGAGCCACAGGAGGTTTCTGAGCAGGAGATCAGCCTTTCAGCAAAACTAATCTGGCTGCTGTTTGCTCAGTGTAAGAAGGGAAAACAGCAAAGAAGACCGGTTAGAGCTTAGCCCATTTAATTCAAAGTTCGCTTCCTATGAGGCTAATCTTCCCAAGGCAGGACATGTCAAGTGAGAGGGATGTTTCTTTTTGTGCCTAACTCCATAGCCATGGGGGCAGACCTCTGGCTGACAGCGGCTTTCCGACTGCTCGGCAGCGTCTCCAGTGTTTTGCAGGGGGCTTGCTCCCGAACACGGCAGCAGCATGCACAAGCCCGCTCTGCCTTCTTTGTGGCATTTCAGCACGTCTCACCTCCGGTCGCAAGCTTTTGATGTCAGCTCCATTTCTGGAGCATGACTACAGGCTCCACCACTTAGCTGTCACCAGGATGCCATTGTCACAGGGTATAAAAAAGATCTTCAATTATAACATCAGTGCCTGACAACAGAACCGGGCACTGGTCATGGACTCGCTGACTGTCCAATGCGTGGCAGCATCCCATGGTGCCCACAGCACTGACCCGGGGCCCCAGGCTGCGGGACAGCTCCCTGTACCTGCAGTTCCCTGGGCCTGCCAATGTGGAAAGGTTTGTTGACTTTTTTTTTTTAACTGAAGAGTTACAGTATTTCAAAATGTACTCCAAACAAAGACTTATTAATATGTTTACATCACAACTTCAAATTCTCAAAACCTAGGACGCCATGTGCAGCCATTCAGGCAGGAAGTGCCAAGACTGAGCCTCGGGCGGTGGCCAGCCCCCTGAGCAGAGGCGGGTGGCTGAGCATCCAAGCTCTGGAGCTACGTGGCCTGGGTTCGCATCCCAACTCTGCTACTTGCTGGCTCTGAGAGGTTAAGGCAAGTCATGTGTCCCCTCCCCTGTGCCTCAGTTGACTCATCTGTAAATCGGGGCTAGCAATTCCTCACAGACTCTGTGAGGATTAAATGAATCTAATGCATGTAAGCAATTTAGAATAGATATTTGGTACATTTTATTTGCAAAGAGATTTGAACGATGGCAGGCATAGAACAAGCCAATTTACACGTGAACTTAAAAACAAACACAAATAAAAACAACACAGATGTGAGAGGCACCTCAGGGGTGGGATCACCCTGGCCTCATGGTGTGGGTGACAGAAGTGGAGGAGGAGTTGAAGCTCAAGGACAGCAGGAAGCCTCTAACGGAAGTGAGGATGGCTGGCTTGGCCAGGGCAGGAGGTCCCCAAGCATCATTGGTAAGTGCCCTTGGCCTCCGTGGCAGAGGGAGGGGCTAGAGCAGGGCCTCTCTGACCGCCCAGTGTAGGGTCTCTGCAGCCCTGGTCACCAACTCACACACACAGGGTACTGATTGGGACCCTGGAGTCGGGGGCCCAACACAGTGACTCTCCATCCCAGGGCTGGTAGGAGGATGGACTTTGGACCCTAAAACCCCAAGCCTCCATCCACGTCATTCTCTGGGCCACCTCCAAAGCCCTCCGACTAGGAAGCCCTGACAAGGCAGACCCCAAGCGCCTCTCTGGAAGCCCTCACGTCTAACCTCTGTCTCCGTTAATTAGGACCTCCTGGCTGCTCCTTTCAGGTGCAAATTAAACAGCTCCAGGCCGCACTGCAATTACAGACTGCTTAATTCTCCGTGTTCCCTATCCACGCCCACGCTGACAGGAACATCTCCTCCTATCCCCACCTGCAGACCCGGGTCTTTCCAGCCCTGAGTTCCCAGGGACTTCACCAGCTCAGCCCCAGCCCCACAGCCCACTGGGAGCTGGGGATGCAGGGCAGGGTCTGTGCATCCCCATCCCACCTCCCATCCCCCAGGTCAGTCACGGGAAGGGCTTCCTTCTCTGGGAGCTTTGAGACAAGGACAGAGATGACTTTGTAAAGCCCTTTGGATAAAGGAATTCATTTGCTCTAGGAAGGGCACTTACCAAGGATGCCATCTCCATTTTCCCTCCAAAGATGGCCTTGAGGTGCTCTTCCCGCCTCCACGGCCTACAACCCCCTCCCCTTCTGAGTTCTGAGCATCTCAGGACCATTTCCCCTTTCTGAGATATCCCCTAGAAAGAAGTGCCAGATGAGAGTAATAAAACGTGTGCTTTATTTCAAATGGTCGCCTGTGACAAATTAAATAGCACACAAACATACGCTGTAATATAATTATGTTATGTTAATTCCAAGATAATTATGGGATTTATAAAATGTATGCGTGTGTCGTGTGCCCGGGGCAGTCTATTCCAATCACACTGCACAGGTTTGAAGCTGGAGAATGAACTTCATTCTGTCCTGTGACTGTCTCTCTGCGACCTTCACTGGTCACTTTATTTGGTGACAATGTCCGAAGTTGAAAAGCTCTTCATGCTTGTGATGTCTGGGCCAAAGGGTTCTTTCCCCAACACCATGGTTCCCCATCCTCCGAGTTCATCCCCTGGTTGAACTCCTCACATTTAACTCTCAGTCTTACCTTTGTCTTAGACAATCCTGGTGGGCATGTGTCACGTATGTGACGGTCTGTCCTCTTGTGAGCAACTCTCCCATGTGTGGGGAGTGTTCTTCGCTAGGAATTCCTTCTCTCCGAGGTATTCATAGAAGGAAAACTAGCTTTCCCAGCCTGCCCTGCATCTAGGCTCCCCGTGTGAGACCAAGTTTCCCTCAATGAGAGGCACCGGAGGGAAGGGATTTGGAAAGAAGCATGTGAAGCAAGTGGGTGATGCAGATTCAGTCCTTTGGAAATAGTGGCAGCGAGGACTTGGCTTTGGGACGGCACTGGCGACAGAGCTTCCGGTTCCCAGTGTCCAGTGTCATGGGTGCCACCTGCACTGGGAGTGGGTGCAGCAGCGGGAGAGGCAGCCAGACCTTTGTGTCTCTGTACAGCACCACCTATTTTAAATGGTCTCGCCAGAAGTTTCAAATCTAACTACAGATGTACGGGATCTTGGACTTCTGGCCTCTGGAAGTGAGAGAAGTTCTGTTGTTCTCATCTAAACACACCTGAAAAACTACCAGTGAATGTAAATAGGTGAGGCAATATCGGATACCAGTTTCAAAATGGCCTTCGTGGATTGAGATGCCCCCTGTTGTCTTTCATTCCTCCATCAATATAGATTGATCACCTGATCAGGCCACCCAGGAAATGTCACATCAGTTCAGAGGCCAAATGAGTGCCTCAGACCCTCGGCCAGTGCTCCGGGGACTCCTGGCATAGAGAGAGCAGTGTGGGCTGCAGGATGGGCTGGGCAAGCTGGGAGATATTGGGAAAGGTAAGTGAAAGATAAAACAGAGAGGGGTGCTGGAGACCCAGATGCCAGGACACAGGCTTTATTGAAGAGAAGAGTAACACTGCCAGCAGCCTTCCGGAGAAAGAGAGGAAGAGAGTGAGGGCCGGGGTACAAGCACCTTTTAAGGGGAGGAAGGAGAGGAGATGGTTCTTAGGGCACTCAGCACACGCTGATTGGTTATTTCATGTAAGGCACATGATTAGGAACCTAGGGATTTAGAAATCAAGGGCTTAGGGTATTTGGCAGGTGCTGATTGGTGGTTCAGTGCTCAGGAATGTCTGGCTGCAGGTGGAATTTACGCCCATCCATCAATTGGAGGAAGGGAGGATCTATCAGTAAGAGGGGGACATTTCTAGCTGACATGTGTGGTGGCATCTGAGAGTGAAGAATTAGCTTTATTTTGTTTCTGAAAGAAGAACCTGAAGGAGGCAATGTCTTAATCTAAAGAAATGATCCTAGACCTCCTTGACATCTCAGACACCAGGACAAGAGTGGGGGCAAGAGGGTGTGGGAACTGCCTGTGCCCACAGGGGGTCTTTGTAGTCCTGTCCTGTAGCATCTGCCTGCCCTCCTCATATTGGTGTTCACGACCTCCTTCAGAAGTCCCTCCCCTGAAGCTGTTGGATATACCCTTTCTGCCTGCACCAGGCTTGTCTCCTGAAGTGAATGCAAAAGTTCCTGCACTTGGCTACTGCTGTTTTCATCCCCCCTCCCTGAAATGCCCAGGTCTTCCCTTTCTAGCAAAATCTCCTGAACCTGCTCAA